AAAATCTCAAAACAAGATAATGAAAGTGTTAAAAACCTCAAATGAGGTTCGAGATTTCTAAAAAAATCCCTTTGTTTGCCGTAGGCTAGAATTCGCATCGCCAAACCGGGACCGAGGGAGCTGGAACTTGGTAGTTGTATAGATGGGTCAAAATGCATCCAACATTGAAGTCACTTCTATGCTTTTGAATTTGCAATTATGTTGAACCCATTTCTACTAATTTTGTAAAACTCAATCTAACGCTCCATAATATATGAGCCTTATACACTTTTTACGTACGAGATTTTTCTTAGAATTTCCAACTTAGTCTACCATATTTTGTGGCTTAGCAACCGAGTATAAGTTACCACACATTAAAATGAAGCCAAGTTTTTTACCAAATGAACATGACATTTTAAAGAACCAAACTCAAATCAAGATTGATATTTGTTTGGTTCATCTTTTTACAATTACCAGAACATTATGATTTGCCCTGTTTGATATGCTCAGCGCCAGAAAAATCTACCTACCGGCTTTTATGTGATGGTGAATATCAAGTGCTGTTCATCTTCGGCCAGTCTGCCCCCGTAGTCCGTGTACAGCCCCTCACTATTCTGAGGTTCGCAAAATTATTAGTACCGTAGTATGTCAAGGCAGGGGATTGATCCCAAAAAAAAAAAGAAGTACGTTAAGGCCTAAGGGAGCGACAAACGGTTCCCAGAAGTTAGCAGAACACTTATGAGTGGAAACACTACTGCTACTTTCGTTGATCAGACTTTGTGTCCATCGCAAGTTTTAGGGTAAAATGAGGGAGTCGCCCTCATTCATGAGGAAAAAAAGCCATATATGAAGTGATAACAGTAGTAATATAAAAACCAAAGGGCCATGGAGCTACCAGATAGTTTGATTATACCAGGGAGCCACATCAGAAATTTTGTATCTTAAACAAAAAGCATCAATAAAGCATAGCAATTAGCATCTTCCAGGTACTTCCTTCAATGTTGTTCCTAATCTCCTTCCATTCAGTTCCAGAAGAAAACCCAAAGACCATGCTACTGAACATTATAATGTAAACTATAGTAGTACCAACTATTAATTCCTGCCAGATGAAATTCGCAAGTAGAGACAAAAATCCAGTACTCTACCTTCCAACGAGCTAGAAATCCCCAACAATTTATGGTTATTGGAACAATCCAAGTACAGTAAACATTTGAAATCGCATCACATACAATTGTAAAAGATAACACGAACAAAGTTGTCTTACAGTTACACAGTTCAATCAGAGTCATTTTTCTTATTTGTCATGTCAATAAATCAGAATGAAATCGTGATCGTTGCTTTTATGCGAACAACAAACTCTAAAACAAACAAGATTACAGTTAAACTTACTGGGGAAAATTGTGAAGGTATGCCATCATAAAAGCTTCTCTGTCAACCTGATCATGAATGAATTCACAGCAATTGAATCCAAAACTATCCAAGATGATTCAAATAGTTCGTGAAAGTACTCAGCTCCTGTCTCCTCAGCCGCACTTCTAAATGCAATCCCAAATGCATTTCCCTGAACTGCACCGAGTCGCGGCTTCCCGCAAACCCCCACCATTAATACTTTATCCCGTTCTTGAGTATAACAAACACAGACTAACGGCTTCATCCTTGCTCCCTTTTCCCGTAAGGCATCCATCAGAAAATAACCAAATTTAGTTAAAGCCTGAGGGTGACATAACACCTTTGTATCTGCTGAATCTTCAAGCTTCACCCACCGAAATTTACTCCCACTTCTTATTGATCCTTTCTTGGTTATGGCTGAGCTACCTTGTCTAAGAATCGACCTTTGCACTGAGATAGCATGTTTCATCCCAATTTCGAGCTTATCAAGCTTGTTCAAGGACAATGCATCATAAGCAACCCCAAACTGTTTTGAAGCAGAGGAGCCATTGGATTCTACGGATGACTCTAACAGGGCGGTAACTCCATGCACTACATCTGCTGCAGAGACCCTTGAACTGTATCCGTGCAATAGTAAGAATCCTCTAAAATAAAAATCCGTGAGACCAAACTCTGGAAGATACTGCTCAAACATGTCCTTCATCCTTCTCTTGATCTCAACACTCATATACTGAAACTTTTGTTTGCACTCTTCCCGGGCAAACCCCATCCGAGCTAAAAGAAGCTGCATCTTCTTTATGCCATTGTCACTCCAAGTCTTTAACTTAGTTGCAATGTAAGATGAACACAACATCGAATCAAACAAGTTCCATTCTTGTAAGAGCATCAGCCTTGGCTCATCCTCGTATGAGATTCTTGAAGTGTCAGGTGCAGTGACCTTTGTTCCATCTTTGAGAGTAACTGAAGTAATAGTGTCCAAATTGCCTGAGCTATTAATATGCTGCTCAAGCTCCATTACCCCAGCATGGTATCTCTCTTCTGTTAATCTCTCGTGAACAAACTGGTCAGTCAAAGCCACACAAGCCAACCAAAGCAATTCATTTGTGTTTTTCCTGAGAGAATGAGACAGTTCATACATCAAACACCCAGATGGCTTCCCATGAAAGGTACCCATAAAGTAGTACTCTTTCTTCAACTTTCTGAAAAGCTTAACTGGGTCACTCTCACTTTCTTGAGAAACCTTCCTCCTCTTTCGAGTCCCTTGACTCTCACCACCATCTTCCTCCTCACCCTCACTGTCATTCTCATCCTCACTATCCGAATCGTCCCCAATCTCATCATCACTATTCAAATCACCAGCGTTAGCCAGCTCTGAAATGTCAAAATCATAAGCCAAATCAGCCTGGTGCTCATCATCCTTGGTGTAAAGCACCACAACGCGATCATTCCTGTCGCTCAAATTATGCAAGTGGATGGGCCTGTGGCTATCCACCACAAAAACACAAGCCGAAGGACCAATTTGTAATACCCTCCTAAGATCTCTATGACAACCCCAATTTACTAACAAAATTGTAATGGGTTCCTCAGACAAGGCACACAAATTAGGTCCCGCGTATTTATGAATTTCCTTAAAACTGGAAACTGGATAACAAGCATATCTAACGGAATCAGATTCAAGAACATGGCCAATTATCTTTAAAGCACAAAGCGAATCCACATCAGAAGTTGAAGGGAAAATTAGCAAAGGAGTGGACGAAGCTGAAGCTAAAGCCGATTTGCGCAACCGCAAGTAAAATGATTCTATACTTAGCTCTCTCACCATAATTCCTTAACTGAGCTATGCAAAAATAAGAAAAATCTAATCTTTTTCCGGTAAAAAACAATTCTGAGCTCATTACAGAATTATGTTCCGCATGGGCATTTATACAAGCACTTGGATGGGACCTTTAAATCTTATACAAATAGAAAATGAGAACTATTTGTGAACCCAATTTTGCGGATCTATGGGAGAGGAAAGGAGAGACCGAAGTCAGATTCAGGGTTTTGTAGAAATACCTCGAAGGGGAGAATTAAGTTGAACCCGGAAGAGGATTGAAGCTGGAAAATCAGTTATATGGGCTCACAGCACTCAAATTGTTGTCGTTCCGTTGAGATTTGTAATCTGAGGAGAAGAAAGTGATTTTGAGGAAAAGAGGATTTGAGCTTTGAATAATGAATACTTCTGTGTTTGAGTTTAGAAATTTGAAATTTTCAACGACCGCCAAATTTTGGCGGGTGAATCATTCGGCCTGAAACGGATCCATATTGATCTGACGAAATTACCCTCCGTTTGAAGAAGTATTCGAAGCCTTGCTCGCTTTATCAGATCATGTCCCTGCAATTCGTTGTTTTTTGCACTTGCGTCCTCCTTTTCTTTTTCAAATTTAGCTGGGAGGCCAGTGGAAATTGTTTAAGCACACTGGACTGGAGTTACCTGTAAATCAATTGATCTTTTTGACATCGAATTGTAGGATGATACACCACGATTTTCATTTTGGGCATGTAATTCTAGGTTAGACAAATTTCATTTTGGGCATAATTTCACCCAATTGTTGTAGCTATATTATTAATTTGAAGTTCTCAATAAACAACGAAAAAGCTCTATTTTAATTGGTGTTTAGATTGCTTGCTAGAGCAACTAATAATCATTCATTGAAATTTGCATTGTGATCAAAGTGTTGGGCTTTCAAAATTGATAACAGGTGAAATTATACGAGTGCATGCAACGTGTACGTATAATAACTCACAGATACAGCTTGCAAAATTTTTTAGGATTAATTTTACATCATGCACTATCAGGGTAAGGTGCATGATTACGAATGCAAAATTTGGATTCCACAGTCGAATTTAGATTAGTTATCATGCACTTAATGATAATAGTAATATACATACTATATACTATCAGTGTATAAAAAGATTCATACAATTTCTTAATCAAGTTGTATGACTTTTTTCAAGTGCTTCCAATCCCAACTTTTAGCCCTAATTGAAGATCAACACTACGTGTTGTTTTTTTTTTTGGGGCCAAAGCCTTTATTGGGCCGAAAATTATTAGTTTACATCACAAACACAATTTCGAAATATCTTTTTGTCTTTCTAATTACTTTTTTTTATCTCATATATATACGTTATGTAAAAAAAAAAAAAAAAAGTGCTACAATAATTATTTCAAATAATTCCCCGTCGAAAAAGACATCAGTACGTGTGTCTTATACTAGACACTCATGCAGGAACCCCAAGGTGTTATACTAGACAACAATGAAGGTACTATTCGGGAGAAGAATTAGGAGGACCAATCCAATGAAGGCCTTTTTTCAATTGAAATGAAAAGCCTGGCATAACAATCAATCCATGGACACAGGACAGCTTCCATAGCTTGGAATTGCTGTACTGCAATATGCATGGGGTCTTGCGGCTGTGTTAGCGCATACTATACTTGCGATTTTAACCTTGTCTTGGTTCATACATTATTGTCTCTTACAGTTAGAAATGCTGATTTAAGAGTGCAACAAATCTCTAACTATCTTGCCCCTCCTGATTTGTGTTTGTGGAATTGGCTTGAACGTTGGCTCTTGCGCAACAACCAGCAAAAATGGAACTAAAGGCAACATCCTTTTTTAATTAAAGAATCTGCCACTTTTCAATATTTTTGTATTTCAGAAATTGGTAGCTACATCGTGCAACACTAGTTAAGATTTGGCACAAAAACACTAGTGACCAGTTCCAGGACAAAAGAAGACCCGAAACCTTAAATTTATTGTCCCAACCAACAAAACAAACTGAGAGGGGGGAAAAAATGCACCAAAACTCCTTCAGGGCTACTTACAGGTCCATCAAATGGGATGAATAGACACCAGAAGGTAAAAATTCCTCAATTTCCAAACCATGGAAAGCAGCATCCCTGCAGAGAAGAGCAAACAGACACGAACGCTTTGTCAGGCACTGACATGAAACCAAGGATCATAAGAGGCCACAGTTAAAACGACAGTTGAAACTTGAAAGGCATAGGAAATATGAGAAGGGCCCTAGGTTGAAAAAATCACTGGATCAATGGTTCTTGAATCGATTGCACAGCATACCTTACGATCGCCACTGGCATTTTGCTTCCGCTTCATGTGGTAGGATGGCTCGAAATTATTGCCTGCTTGGAGATTTGAGGGGCCGGTATGCCTTTCCTCGCGCACCTTGTTGAAAATATGAGTGTAATTATCAGCTGACTGAGGATTGTTCTCGTCCCAGTCACCAAATCTTGGAACAGCAGCACCTCTATCAGGCTGCATTTTACATGAAGGAAGATGATCAGCAAGCAGAACAAGAACAGAAACCGCAAACACAACAAAGCACTAAAAAAAAAAAAAAGGATCTTTTGGAAAGGATAAACATGTCCAGCGTGCGTCGAAGTTCTAAAAACAAAGTCAGATCCCTGCCCTGCAGTCTGAAATCATTGATCCATGGAAGTTTGAAGATTAGATTAGAAAAATATAAACCACAACTTACACTTTCCTCCACTCGACTAACTTGCTTCATACGGGACTTCCCGTAAGTCCCATGGCTGCTGTCATGCGAGCTCTTTCCATCCCAAGCGGGAGATGTGCCACCTTTCCCTGCTAACTTTGCAGGGTGATGTGAATGTAGTGGCGACCGCTCGAAGCTGTGCTCAGACCCTGCACTGTGTCTGGTTGGCCGACCAGAATTGTGATGAGTTGACTCACCGGAGGTCCTGCGGCCTGGATTATCAGTACGTGCAGGAGAATCCACAAATTGCCTGAAATTACCATCTTCCCTACTTCCACGATACTCGTGCTGTGCCCTAACAGCTCCCCGTCCCACTGGTTCCTCCGTTTGAGGTCTTATATTAGAGGGTGCTGGAGCTGGGGGAGCAAACTGGCGAAACATTTCTGGATTTTCCTCGGGGTCGTTGGGATTTATCATCTTTCCACCTCTACCTTTCCTTGCATTATCGAAGTACAGTGTGTAGGGAACATTTTCTTGGCTGTCCCAGTTGCCAAATTGAGGCACATGGGGGCGCTGAAAAGTGACAATTACAAACACACGATTGTTATTTACTCGAATATGCATGGCTTCACAAAAGTTTCCAATTAGTTGTAGCAACTATTCTATGATTCTCATCAGTTGAATCTAATTCAGGGTTCGCAACTCCTCCAGTTTTTAAGAACTGAGCAATTCCAGGCCATGGTTGTTTTTAGCAGTAGTAACACATACCGTGAAAGCCCATAAGAGTGAGCAATAAAGACACATATTTCTATTCCTGGGGCACTTTGATAGTTTGTCCCCAGTAGAAAAAACTAGAAATCAACAATCTCCCGTAATATTCCAGAAATTCCTTCTTCCGGTTTTCCTTACTAGTGCCCCGCAGCCTCTTACTGGAATTGCAAGCGTGAAGTAACACTCCCAAGACAACCCAAAGCTACAATCTGACTACCCAACCAAATTAGCCATATTATTGCGGGCGTAAAATAGAAGGGACAAAAGCACGTGCAATGCAAACCCCACATTTTATCTTTAAAGAGCTAATTAGCTATCTTAACCCCATCACTAATCAGAAATGCAGGAACAGCAAACATAAAAGCCACCGCCTAATTCATCCAGAACAAAAGTCAACTCTATTTTGTCTTCGTACTTTAACAACTGGAAGACAACTGCAGGACACAAATCACCCAAGACATGGATCTCTTTTTTGGGGGGGGGGGGGGGAATGGAAAGAGAAAAGGCAAAAAAATTGTCAAGAAACCACGAGGGATTCAAAAGAAATAATACTTACAGCGCATGGGAGAGAAAAAAAGAACAATTGAGTTGGGGCATGACAGATTTTAATCTCAAAACAGCGTGGTAGCAGCCATTGGGTATATAAACACATAAAGTAAATAACTTTCATATATAACAATCCATTTATAGCATAAAAAATCGCAAGAGTGGTGTGAAAAAGGAAGAAGAGGACATGGAAAAGAAAAAAAGGACGAGATGGAACTTACTGCTGCCATTTCCCTTCGACCAAGATGTTGATTAAAAGCCAAGAAAATGGCAGTAGAGGATAGCTCTTTTCAGCAAAGAAGCAAATATGATCGAGAACAGCAAATCAAGCCTTCTCTTCCCCAGGAAAAAAATGAGAAAGCTCTTCAACTACCCAAGAAACCAACGGAGAGAGAGAGAGAGAGATGGGGCAATTAAAGATTTTAAGAGGCGTTGTAGTAGTAAGAGAGGAGAGGAGAGAAGAGGGAAAGGTACATCAACCATTGACGCACGCCACCGATAAAAGTTTTGACCATTCCCATTCTTCTTACCAAGTCTTCCCTCGTCTCGTTTACGAAGTCTTCTTCACCGTGTGAGAGAGCGAGTTACCACGGAGTGGGAGGAGTAGGAGGACTAGACCAGATTTGAAGTTAAAACAAAACATAATATATAGTAAAACAAATTTAGCAAGTCAAAATCAACTACTAGTCCGAGTATTCAACTTCGGCCCCTCCTCTCCTCTGACCATGAAACCGAATACTGCTACTAGTCTACTACTACCACTTCAGTCCAGTTTTTTCATTTTTGCTGGTCCGTCTCTAGGGTTCAACAATCAACACCAGTACGTACAGTACGGTACAACTGGGCAGCTAGCTAGCGTGCTTGCTTGGCCTTTAGTTAGCCTTGATCGGCTGATGACTGGTCTTCTTCTGCTCATCAGCTTTGATCAGCCGAGAAAAATGGTCGATTCACTCTGGATAAGTTGCCAGTACTAAGCACCGTCCGATGACCATGGAAGACCGAAGTTGCACCGCATAGGCCTCTGAATCGTTGTCTGTCATTCTTCTTCCCTATTTGATTTGGAAGTAGGCTGAGACTCATTTTACTAAGAACTTAAATCATTTTGAAATCCGAATCATTGAATAGAGAATTATACAGTCAACTTTTTGTCATCTTCCACGAACTGGAAACTTGAGCTCGAGCGCATAAACCATAATCTCCTCTTATTACCAGAAAAGAAAAAAAAAAGCCTTAATATCTCAATCTGGAATAATTAATTGATTTCATCAAGAATGAATGTAGAAGCAGTCATATTAAATATAAATATGCTACGTACCCGTAACTGCTTACGTAATGAGAAGCGTGTGGAAGCTCTGGGTGATCACCTCATGCACGAACTTTTCCTGGTCGTCCCCCAGCCCCGTGTAATAAGCCACGTCACCGCCTCTAAGAGTAGTGTGCCCTTTACACATTATTTACAACTTATTTATACACTTTACACATTATTTACAACTTATTTATACAAATTACCTAATTTGAATTATCAATATATTTTTTCATCATATTTTTATCTTTTATATATCATATCAAAAAAATATTATAATATATCACTTTTTTGAAATATTATATCAAATAATTTCCTATCCAAACGCATTCAGAGTTTCTTGTTACTTCACAAAAAAAAAAAAAAAAAAACTCTCGATTTTTATGTATTTATTTATTTTTCATTTTGTAATGCTCTCTTGGCTTGGGCAAGATTTGCGTAGCCATGTTAACATCATAGTCTTACGTGACTGTCAAAATAAATGCAACTTAATTCTGTGGTGGTGATGGCAAAGAATAAGAAAAGGGCGAGCTGATGGTTGGTAGCACAGTCAATGGTTTGAAAAGAAAAGAAAAGAAAAATACATCCGGATTCATTCAACCTGAAATCCTTTTTTTTTTGTAAACTTGCACCTCATTGCCCCCCACAAAATTAAATTGCTCTTCCTCTTCGGTGGGTTGATTGAATTCCAACTAGTTAGTATTTTCAGACATCAATTCCTCATTGAACTCAAATAGTTGTCAACGAAGACCTTAGCGCAAGAGCTCAAGAAGAAGAAGAAGAAGAAGAAGGACAAGAGAACAATAAGAAGTAAAGGAGCAGAGAATCTTCACACTATTCAAGTACATTAATCTGCTGTCGGCAAGCCATCAATACATATGACAAAATGCCACGCCAACTACAGCTGGCATTTACTCTTTGTACCCCTTCTACTTATGTTATGTTGCGCAACTGCCTCTTGCATTATACTACTCCCTCCGCCCCACTTCGATAGTCCTGTATTCCTTTTTTATCTATCCCAAATTATAGTCTGCTTTCTAATTGAAAAATATAGTTATATTTTAATTTTCCTAAAATACCCTTATTCAATGTAAATAGTTGTTACTATTCCCTCCTTTTTTTTATAACTGACGTTTAAGAAATTTGTTCTTGTGTACTTTTATCTGTCGTTTTATTATTCCCATACAGTATTAATTATTTTTTCACAATTTTACCCTTTTATCTCTCTTTTCCAATACAGGGTTCTTAATTACTACTTCTAATAATTATTGCTTCTCTCTTTGTAACAACCCTAGTAATTATCTGCCCCTCCGTACTCCAGTGAGAGAAAACATGGGTGAATTGGACAATTAATGAGGGTACAAAAGGAAAATAGTGTACAGATTTAAGCAATGAAAAACTTTTCTTAATTGGTGTGCAAAACCTTAAACGTCAGTTATAAAAAAATGGAGGGAGTATAAACCTACCTCATTTAATGAGAGTTGATTCTTTTTTTACCATCAATTCAAGTTCCCATAAAGTTGTACCATATTTAATGTGAGGGTATTTTAGAAAAATAGTAATCTAAATTTACTTTTCCAACAAAGTTAACTACTTTTTCTTAAACTGTGTAAAAAAATAAACAGAACTATCAAAGTGGGACGGATGGAGTATTGTTTTTCAAGCATCAATTAGAGCAGCTAACATTACTTTCTGGTGCAGGATTTTTCTGAATTCTAATGGTGTGTTTGGATTGCAATTTTCTAAAGAAAAAATTGTTACATTTGCAATTGACACATTTTTACTTCATATATATATATATATCAAATCGTTACAATAATTTTTCTATAAAAAAATTTAAAAAACTACAACCCAAACATAGCCTTATTCTTCTTCCGATGGAAAATTGCAGTGTCAAGATGTTTAACATTTGGATCTATATAGACACACACGCATATCTTTGAAATCAAAACCTGAGAAACGCTACAGGGAAATATCACAATTTCCGTGCACCATATGATTGATACTAGAAGAGGATTTTCCTTTCTTTTTTTTTTTTTTTGGGTGATGAAACTTGAAGAATTTATACTAACAGTTTTGGTCAGATTGTAGGTCAAACTTTGGGAAACTAATGCAAACGTTGTCATTGTTTAAGTTGGAATTTGTCATTGTCATGCAAATAGCCTGTTTAGACTTGGGTAGAGACTCCTTCGGCCTCAGCCCAGCCCACATAGAAAGTTAAGAACTTAAGATGTCCTTGTCTTCCGAGTGGAGTTCGAGCGCAGACGTCGTACTGGATTTCCGTTGGCTTAGAGGCCCAGTGAAAATGTGGGCCAGACTTTGCTCTCTTCCTTCTTGTAGAAATCCGGCCTAAGTCGTACTGGATTGAGACGGCAGTATATTGTTTTTTATTTTTGCAAGAAGTATACATTGACTAACAAAAATACATGTTGCATTTCAAATGTTGATTTTTAGTAAAAGGAAAACGCACTAGTAACAAAATAAAAGTATTCTTAATTTTTCTTTTCTTTGTTTTCCTATTGCTAGCATACCTGTCGTCGATTGGCAGGGGCGATACCAAGATAATAAACCTAACCTGTATGGACTACTACGAATGGCAATGGACAAGTTTGGGGTGGGAAATCTCTCCTACATCTTCAACTGAATCTATTAGAGAATCGACGGAGATCAAACAATTATCGAGCCAAATGAATGTACTATATATATACACCTGTATGGATTTATATAAGATCAAATGACTGTTGATCTCTCCCCCATCTTCTATTGTTAGGCTCTCGCTCTCTGTTTTTAAACTCGGATCGGATTGTCAGTTCGATCGGTCGAATTGATAACCGGTAAGTTGGCTGGTCCGAGTTAATCCTAAAAATCGGGAAATAAAAAATTCGGTCAAATCAGGTCAAAACTCGAGTTTGACTGAAAAAATGAAACCGGTCTCCTTTTTTTTTCTTTTTTTTTTTTTACTTTTTTTGAAAGGGCAGAATATTTTAAATATGATGTTTTGATCCTTAAGTTGTTAAAAATTATTAACATACCTCAAATATTTCATACTTTATAAATGTTATCTTAAAGTTTGGTGTTATTTTTCTATTAAGTCCATAATTTTAATTCTAAACTTGTTAATGCTTATTAAATAATATAAATTGCTACTTGATTGCTCTAATTTATTTGTATTTTCTTATTAAATGTATTTGAAATATCAAATATATGTGAATATATCTTTATTAATATAAACATGTTATTAAGTATTTTACATATAATATTTTAATTTTTTAAAAAATTTTATTTATGACGTTTTCGATTCAACTCCTATCGAATCCGGTTAAACCTATTGTCCCCTAATTCCTGAGCTCGATTGAATCGGATATCGATTCCGAAAACATAGCTCTCGCTCTATCCCGCACCCTTTTCTCCGTATATAAGATATAATTTCTTATATCTAAATTTGTTTATCCGAAGGGACGGTGCGGGGGTTGGACCCCGTTCAAAGGCAAGGGAAGAAAATGCCCTCGATCCCCCGCCCATTCCTCTCCCAGAGGACACCCACTTCAGTCGCTATCCCTGTAAACCACCAAAGAGGAACCCCTCTGACCTTTTTTTTGTTTTGGTGGAAATTTCTTCTGAATCTAAATCCAATCACTCGCCAACTTGCTGACCCACTCGCTAACACCTGGTGGTAGCAAGTAACTTTTGGAATGCTTGGCCCGCTTCCCTTCACGCAGTGGTTTCCCCTCTTCACTTGCATCTTCTTACCTCTTCCCTTTTGACTGTTAAATCCACCATTTCATCCTTTGTGTTTATTCTTTTTTAAATTAAATTCTCCTTCCCTCCTTCTTCTAAAATTCTAAATAGGCTAATGCCAACTCTTTTGCTTTAACACACATCCTCTAATCCCCAAAAAGTGGCAGAGTAAAGCGTCTCCTTGGAAAGTAACCTTCTTTTTCATTTTCCAGCTAATTTGCTAGATCTGCTGCCTTAAACCGTCTCACTCTTCTAAAATCTGGAATTTTAAGCTTGGGTTTTCCAGGTTATAGGAGTGTTATGGATATCAAGACTCGTCTTAATGAAGATTTCTAGCAGGTTATGTTCATGGGGTTTTCAAGATTCAACATAACCAGGAATTGGTCAAGTATAACTTTGGCCTGATTGGAAGTGCTTAATTGGGCGAGCTTTTTAATTCAACTACGTCTTTGTTTTAATGGATAAACCTGAAGGTTTATGCGCAGATAGCTCACTGTATCTGAAGATGTGGGGGTTTAGTTCTTTTCTATGAAAAAGCACATTTTCAATAGAGATTAGGAATAGTAATTCCTGGTGCAGGTTAAACTGTTTATCTATTTATTTACTTCTTGGGGCTCTCAAGATGATTCAGTTGCTGTATTTGGTTCTTTTTGCTGAGGGCTTGGTAGCATTTCTTTTAGTGGTAAAGATTGGGCCATTAAGAGAGCTGGTAATGAAGGGTTTAGATCAGGTGAAGATGAGAAAGGGCACCGTTTTAACTATTGCTGGTACTTTTGCTGCCATTCTTCTTTCCAACTTCTTCAGCATTGTCAAGATTCAGAACAAGGGTGCTAAGCTGGGTACCATGTCACCAATGGATCAAGTGCTTTGGAGGACCAACTTGCTTGAGGCTTCTCTCATGGGTATTAACCAGCAATTTTTTACTAGTATCATTTAATTTTAGAGGGTTTTTAATTTGAATTCCGCTACTTAGTATGTTTGTTCTCTGGATTAGTATATTATAATTGCGGCTAAGAAGTTTGTGTTGGTTAAGAATTTATCCTTTTCTGCACTTGTTTGGAGGAACAATTCCTACTGCAAAATGCAGTGTTTAGCCACGAAATTCACAAACGGAATCATTAGTCTCAAATATGAAATCCCATAGGATGCTGCTAGCCTTTTCTTTTGAACAATCCTATAAAATCAGTTAAAACACAAGAGCTATAGGCATTATTAACTTGTATGATAGATTGATTGAAAAGCTACTGAAGAGAGACTTCATTAAACTTGTAAAAGTTAATGTCTCTAACATCTGACAGTGGTGTTTTGATAACATAGTTGGGACTTTGGTTATGTAACTCCATAAATTGCTACACATTTGCATGGGAACATACTTTAATGTGTATGAAGTGCTTTCTACACGGAGATGCCTCACCTCTTGCTGATTTACGACTATTTGCTCAATTCATGTTGTGAATCCCCACCTTACAGGACTACCACTTGCACCTGTCTAGCATCTATTTTTACCCTTCAGTTGGTCACAGGTTAGAGCTAGTAGATCACTTAAGAAAAAGGACTGTCATAAGTAACCTCTGTCAAAGGTTTCTAGTCTCTAAGTAATAAGGAGAGCACAGGAGCTCGAGCTTGGTAGTTAGTGAGTCTCCCTACAATCTATTGGCATCACCGGAGGGTGCTACAGGTGAAGGTTACTTTTTCTGATTGCACGCTTTTCGTAGCTCACTGCAACTGAATTATGAATAGGATCTAATCATTTTGTGGTAAAAGTATGTTGAGTTGTTACATATGGCTGCAAGCTAGATGTCAGTATTTTCGTTTCTCCATATCATCTGTTGGTGTCATCAGACTATGGCTACCTGTGAGGAAAATTATTTCAAGTTCTCTTCTATAGTGGTTGCATCTGTTAAATTCGGGATTGAATCTCAAACTTTTATTGAATGAGTATTCTAAACTGTATCATGTGGGAGCCAATATATTCATTGACAATTCCATATTGTACATAGCATGTCTCTCCTCCTATACTTCTTAATTCATCATACTGTGTAATGTTGTCTGAGTGTCGTGACTATTTGGCAGTTTTCTTTCTTGTTGTACTAGATTGGTCCCTAAATGGTATCTACTTTGTAGGGTTCTGTTTGTTCCTTGGATTTTTAATTGACCGTATGCACCATTACCTCCGAAAATTGATTGGATTGAGAAGTACAGCTGGGGCTTTGAGAAAAGAAAATGAAAGGCTTGAAAAAGATAAGCTGCAGCTTAAAGAGAAGGCCGAGAAAGCTGATGAGGAAATAAAGGTAATGAAGAAAGAGATCTCTAGCTTGACAGAGAACTTAAACAAACTTAAGATGGAGTCTGCTGAGAAGGACAAGAAGGTTGAAACTGCAGAAGCTCATGTTGCTGCTCTTCAAAAACAAGCCGCTGATCTACTTCTGGAATATGACCGTCTTCTAGAGGATAACCAAAATCTTCAAAACCAAGCAGTAGGATACCGTGGTTGAGAGATCAGCTTCTAGCAGTTCAAATTTGGAAATTTTGGCGTTAAAAGTTGATATTGGCCATATATCAAGTGAACACGAAAGCATCATGCCTTGTCTGAGGAAAAAGTTTTGTTGGCGGAATAGAGCATACTCCTTCCCAATTCTTCAAAAGTTTTGCACTTACCGTCGGATACTATGATGCTTCATCATAGGATGTTCATTCGCAAATCCAGATTGTCAATATTTATTAAATTGACTTGGCCATTCATTTGAAAATGCATTCTATAACCTTTCATATGATTCAAGTAAGTCTGTAGTAAGTCCCGAAAACTTTAGCTCGAATGCGGCGTTTCTCTTTTAGTGTGTGTGAGGAACTCTTTACTGTTCGATGTTCCATTTCATATCTAATTGTTCAAGAATCCAGATGACCACAAATATTTTCTTAAGAAACATCAATTTTGTCCCGATTAATGAACAGTACACTACTGAGTGTTTCTCTCCCTCTGGAGGTGTTGGAGGTTCAAATTAGAAATGACAATCACCTCAATCCATGTTTGCTGCGTGCCTTGGCCATATGAGCTGATGCATAAAGCAGCAGAGCGGTTAAGCAACACCATTCTAAAATTGCACCGACTTTTCACGGGTAATAACCGGTCTCGATTTTTCACAGGTAAAATGACCGAGTATTCCTCGAATAAGCAGTCGGAACCAATTTGCACCGAGTAAAATGCAGTCACTGTAATGGTTGGGCCAAGATCAAATATGCCCATGGCTGCTGTCATGCGAGCTCTTTCCATCCCAAGCGGGAGATGTGCCACCTTTCCCTGCTAACTTTGCAGGGTGATGTGAATGTAGTGGCGACCGCTCGAAGCTGTGCTCAGACCCTGCACTGTGTCTGGTTGGCCGACCAGAATTGTGATGAGTTGACTCACCGGAGGTCCTGCGGCCTGGATTATCAGTACGTGCAGGAGAATCCACAAATTGCCTGAAATTACCATCTTCCCTACTTCCACGATACTCGTGCTGTGCCCTAACAGCTCCCCGTCCCACTGGTTCCTCCGTTTGAGGTCTTATATTAGAGGGTGCTGGAGCTGGGGGAGCAAACTGGCGAAACATTTCTGGATTTTCCTCGGGGTCGTTGGGATTTATCATCTTTCCACCTCTACCTTTCCTTGCATTATCGAAGTACAGTGTGTAGGGAACATTTTCTTGGCTGTCCCAGTTGCCAAATTGAGGCACATGGGGGCGCTGAAAAGTGACAATTACAAACACACGATTGTTATTTACTCGAATATGCATGGCTTCACAAAAGTTTCCAATTAGTTGTAGCAACTATTCTATGATTCTCATCAGTTGAATCTAATTCAGGGTTCGCAACTCCTCCAGTTTTTAAGAACTGAGCAATTCCAGGCCATGGTTGTTTTTAGCAGTAGTAACACATACCGTGAAAGCCCATAAGAGTGAGCAATAAAGACACATATTTCTATTCCTGGGGCACTTTGATAGTTTGTCCCCAGTAGAAAAAACTAGAAATCAACAATCTCCCGTAATATTCCAGAAATTCCTTCTTCCGGTTTTCCTTACTAGTGCCCGCAGCCTCTTACTGGAATTGCAAGCGTGAAGTAACACTCCAAGACAACCCAAAGCTACAATCTGACTACCCAACCAAATATATACGTAGTGCACCGGAAAAGCCGCACGTGCACATCCTGGGGTAGCTGAGTTTGAAATTTTATCAAGCCCACGATATATACTTAGCAGGACAGGAACAGCAAGGCAAGTCTTACGACCGGCAGCCATCATACTTGCCATTTTGAAAGTAGATGGTCTAATATAGTGGGGGTCCTCATCTGGTAAAACAAAGACACAGAGCCAGCAAGATATAAATGCTGCAAGATAACTCTCTTCCCGCAAGTGAAGTTTAACTCCGATGGTATTAAATACACCATTGTCTTGACTTGAAAATTTACGCGGTTGTCCAATTTCGCCATCCCGATTTTGGGTTGCTTGAGCACGAGATGCCCTCTTTATCCTTCTCTGCTTTGGCTTTGAGTACCTGGTTTTGCCTTTAAACCAGAAATTAATCCACTGGTCAGCAGAAACTCCAGCTTTGTTGGATTCCCCACGTTGGAGATGATGTAAGGCTGCGAACAGATACTCACAACTTTGTGGAATATGCCTTAATTTCTTTTCATTAACCCCAGTTAGCTCCTCCGCGCATGGGATTACCTCTTCATAGATACCCCCGATGATTGGAAGTCCCCCCAACTTGTGCAAGTCCCAAAGTGAAAGAGACAGTTCTCCAACAGATGTATGCAAGGTATTAGTGTCCGGACACCACGCCTCGCAGAATGCTCTAAGTACATGGAGGTTCCTATCATATGTGAAAAGCGAAGCATATAAGGCATCAAACAAGCAATTTTCACGGAGTTCTTGTTTGTTCCTGCCGAGAATATCCTCCAACCACTCCCAATAATTCTCGATGTAACTGAATGCACCACTGAGTCTCAAGGAAGGACCCCAATGTGCATCTCCATTTATCATCCGCCTGCCAAGGGTCTGAAAAGGAGTTGTCCTTGGCTCCTTATCATGAATAAGGGATTTCAAGAAGTGAACCTTCGTGCCATCATCTTGAGGAAGTTCGAGTGACCAATTCTTTAACTCTGGGTACTGGTGAGAAGGCCACTTACCTGAGTAACTTCCTTGTATAGGGGAATGCACTAATAATTTCGTTCCTTTGTCACCGGAGTCACCATCGCTGTCAGTGATAAGGAGATACTTTTCGTTTGAAAAAGCGACTTCCTTGAACACCACCATTGCATCAAGACTAACCTGCAGCAAAAGGAAGGAAAAAGAAAGTTTGGTTAAAATGGCATGGTCGAAAATAGTAAAAGCTTCTTGAATTTTAGGGTGAGTTTTATTGAAGTGGGTAGTCGTGTATTATTTTTCATGTACTCCTCAAGCCATGATATGGCTCTCGTGGGAGTTTGCGGTTGCACCTTCTTCAAATTGAGTGGTCACACTCTCCTTCATGTACTCCTCAAGCCATAATATGGCTCTCGTGGGAGTTTGCGGTTGCGCCTTTTTCAAATTTTGGTTGCGCCATTTCTTTTGTACTCCTCAAGCCATAATATGGCTCTCGTGGGAGTTTGCGGTTGCGCCTTCTTCAAATTGAGTGGTCACACTCTCCTTCATGTACTCCTCAAGCCATAATATGGCTCTCGTGGGAGTTTGCGGTTGCGCCTTCTTCAAATTTTGGTTGCGCCATCTCTTTTGTACTCCTCAAGCCATAATACGGCTCTCGTGGGAGTTTGCAGTTGCACCTTCTTCAAATTAAGTGTCCATCAAGAGATCCTCCCTTCGTGGCGAAAAAAAAAAAAAAAATTGGCATTGACAAGAAATAAAAGCCATAAGGTATGTGAATTACCTTAGCTTTTTGAACTCCAAGAGCTATGGTCCTAAAATTGTGGACACAATTGGAACGTCAATTTGCTTCAAACAAGCTATGCCAACGTCAGCTGAAAAAAAAAAAAATTTCAGCCATAGTTTTGTTTAAAAAAAAAAAAAAATCATCATCAACGACAAATCTTGCCTTGCTTCGCAAGAATAGACATTCAAGAAAAAGACGTGGCGCGGGCATGTGTTGCTCTAGTCAATTACCATCAGCAAAATTGCATGCAAACTACTTGAATTGCAATTTGAATAAAGAAGCAGTATGGACCTGGCCGTGAATCAAGAAGGCCATGGTATGCAGCAATGGAAAGAAAACACGTGCACTTTGCATGCAAGAGAGTAATCAGATGCTTAAAGTTTCTTGGCCCCGAATTCAATTGTCAATCTATACGCGTTAAATTTCAAAAGAGCATTCAGATGTCAACAATTTGGGGACACTAATAAAACCCGAGTTTGAAAATTTCAATCCTACAAGCATAGCAATCACTGATTATTTCATGAAAGTTTGCCCGTTCAATTTGAGATAACAAACCATCACCTAGTTTCACTGGGAGGCAAATTTTCAGTTTGGTTCATGACTTAATCCAGTGAGTTTTGATTCGACAGAGTGGGTTATTAATCCAGTCAGCAGCGACAAGTACAAGAAAAAAAAATTCCAGCAATGACAAACGTGAGAAAATTGAATCTCTTAGCAAGAAAGTTTCCAGATTACCTGGTGTGAAGCTGACGGCTTGTAGTTCTTCAAGAAAGCTGGAAAACGGCACGACCTAGAAGACTTCGCAAATTGTAATTCTCCAAGCAAGCTGAAAAACCTCGCAAGTTGTGTTGTGCAGGTTGCGTCTCTTCATATAGAAGAAAGGAAATTGATATCTTATACAAGGTTGCTTGGAAAACTTTGGCAGTATTCAAATTAGGAAGCAATTAAGATTTGGAGGGTGCGCGTTGGCCGAGAAGCTCGTGCATGCCACAAGTTCGTTTTAAGCACTTTCTGGTTTCAATGCTTTGCTAGGTACGTGAGAAGCTTGGAAAGTGAGGCAATGCATGCTTACTTGAGTAAAGTGTCCAATAGCTTTGTTGCCTAAAGATTCGTGACTAGCCTTTTGGAGCATTTGGTATTCTAAGAGTCAGCAAGGCTACCATCCGGGCAACAAATTTGTTTTTGGAAACTAATAAGGCGCTGCAATGATATGACTCCAATAGCTTGGATTTGATTTCCAAAAAGGGCTACGCTTAAAATATGAGGAAATCCGTGCATGTGGTTGTTTATAGTAATTGGGACGTTAAGCTTACTGCTGATGCTTCATCCAAGATTTGGCAAGTTCTAATTATTTTAGAAATCATGCAACTTGAAAACATGGATCCAGTAGCTAATTTAGAAGTTACATATTGACTTCAAATTATTTATATTGGAGTTGGAAGGCTATTGGAGTTCGTGAACCTACATTGTCTAATTGGTCTGGGCAATTCCCAGATTGATGAACACTGATCGCGTGGCCAAGGCAATTGCCTAGCATTGTTTTAGCAATTACCTTTTCTTAGCCACATTCAGGTTGGGCGTCTAATGGTTTGCCGCACCATGGAATATGGAAATGATTGAAAGTGGTATCTTTCTAATTCTCTTGGGATCAATTGCAAGTCAAAAGGGAAGTGGTCTTATGATTCCTTAAAAGTTGAAGCCACGGGAATCATTATTCTATGCCCAAATCAACTTGGGTACAAAGCCACACCACGAGAATTTTAGCAACTTGGATCCAATTCCCAAAAGAAGCAATGCCAAAGGAATTCCAAATTGCGCAGCTTCAAGACGAAAAAAAAAAAGAGAGAGAAAAGAATGTCTTGTGGAGCTCTACAAGGCGCCTAAATGAATCAATTTAGGAAGTTTTAAGTTCTGGGCAGCTACCAAATTCAGTGTTTATCATTTAACTTTTGGAATTACATGAATTTGGTTCCCAAGAACAATTTCAAAAGCTGGAAGTCAATTTGGGAAGCTCTCAAAATTCGGCGTTCAGAAGTTACCAACATTGGTTCTGGGAATACATTTGCGGTTTAGTAAGTGTTGAAGCTTAGCAAATTCCATATTGCCAAGTGCCACGGACAAGATTTGGTAGTCAGCAGCTTGAGAAGCAAATCGGAAATTATCAATATGATTTAGCAAGTTTGCCGCATGTAATTTTGAGTGCCCACGTATGCAGACATTTTCTAATCTTTGCACCACGTCTCGGCTCTCTAAAGTGGAAGTTTCATGATAAGTATTCCACCGAACAAAGTGATAGCCATGCTTTGATTATTAGATGTTGGGCAGTGCAATGGTCATAGAAGTTTCCCAAATGCACGAGACTAATTGCAAGCAATAGATTCATTGTAATCACTTGGGTAATGATCCCACGCATTGCACCTTGGTGTAGACCACACGTAATTCAAGGGAAATCAGCCTCCTTTTATTAAAAAAAAAAAAAATCAAGTACTTCAAGTCTCTATTTCAATCCTTGACAAGCAAGTCTCAATTGAGTCTTGAAGTGGGGGCATTTGTAGACAAAGAAAATTTATTTAATTTATTTTAGTCAAGATTTATTTAAATTAAATCGATCTTGATTAAATTAAATTAAATTAAATTAAATTAAATTATAGAAGTCCATTATGTTTTGGACTGGCAAATTGGGCCAATATTATATGGGCCATTAAATCAAATCAAATTCATAGTGTCCATTTAAGTTAGAGTGAATTGATTGTTTTATTAATTCACAGTGGACTATTTGGGTTGGCCCAATATTTAAGCCCAAGTTAAATGGATTTCTTGGGTAACAAGTGATCCAAAAAGCAGGAAGATTCGGAAGGTTTTCTTGAAGACCTAGCCTACATAATTTGGCTATAAATAAAGGTCTTCCCTCAAGGCAGGGATATAAAAAAAATCCCTAACATTCGGAGAAACTCTGTCAAATTCCCTCAAGAGCTTTCTTCCTCAAATCCAAATCCAAATCAAGTCAAACAAATCCTCCTGCTATCGGTGTTGAAGACTCGAAGTTCCAAGTGTTTGACGCCATCATCAAATCAATCGTTTTCTACGCCGAAATTGTAGGAAACACCCTTTCG